CCCAAGCAGTGCCTCCCACATCCATCCTTGTGTTGTTAGCAGCATAGTGTTTCCCTCTAGAAGCCTTTCCCCATTGACTTCCCGCTTCTGGAACCTTTCATTGACACAATGGGGAGCTACTGGAGCCTGTCGCTGCTGTATATGGTTATACGCTGCAGAGAAGTGCTGACACAGGAAGTGTTTCACTGCAATGTGTAGCTGCACATACCCCACACACCACTGTAAATGTAGACTTGCCCAAAGTCTTGCAACACCGGGGAAGTTGCAAAACCAGAAAACTGCAAGAAAGCTAATGTAGTGCCACTATTTGGAAAGGGTAAACAAGATTATCCAGGTAATTACAGGCCTGTCAGCCTGATATTAACCCAGGGCAAGATAGCAGAGCTTCTTCTACAGGACTTGATTAATAAAGAATTAAAGACGATTAAGCTATAGCCATGTTGGTCCCAGGATATGAGAGAGAAAAATTAGGTGAAGTAACATCTCCTATTGAACCAACTTTTGTTGGTGTGAGAGATAAGCTATTGAGCTTGCACAGAGCTCTTGAACAGATTTTTCATACTCATGAGCAAAAGTTGGTCCAATAAAATATATGCCTTACCTACCTTGTCTCTGTAAAGTCTAATGCAGTTAATATGGATTTATGGAAAAAAGATCCTCTAAAATGAATATGATATCTTTTTTGATGAAATTACAGGTTTGGTTGATAAATTTAATAGTACTGACATAATATACTGAGACTTCTGTAGGGTGTTTGACTTGGGGAATCATTGTATGGGTATGTTTCTAGTGATGTTCCCTCAGGGATGGGTTGTCAGTCCTATCCCATTTAACATTTTTAATGGCATGGAAGACCATACAAAATGATCACCAATAAATTCAGACTGGAAAGAAGGCCCAGTGTATAAGACGTGCTTTGATATCAATAGGAAAACCATATCAATCTGCCACAGAATCAAATAACCACCCCAGTAAACAGTGCTGTGTGTGACATTTTCTAAAGTCAGGCAGGAATTTGATCACTGACAGGAGCAGAAGAGCTGTGCAACAATGACTCCTCCTCACAGGAATCCCATAGGGAGGTAGAGATCCACTGGACATCAGATGACATAGGAGGTACAGTTAATGGAACGTGCTGTAATCTTTTTAGTTTGACTTTATTTAAGCTGCACAAAGTGTGACACACTCAACTTTGTATATCTAATGTTTATTTCATCTTTTTGTGCGTTCTAGTGACAATCTTTACATTCTCTGAGAAGGAAGTGAATAGTTTTGGTTAGACTGATTAATACTTTCATGATTTCTATGTGGTTTTGCTTTAGCAAATTTACTAAATTCTAAAACTAATCTGGAAGTGGTGGGGGAAAATTTTGCTTGCTTTTATATTTATATTTCAAAATGTCAAGTTCAGCATTTGCTGCATAGTTTGATGTTCTAGAGAGTAAGTAGGGTTTTAAAAGTGGATTGCTTTTTGTATCATTTCTACGGGTTCATTTGAGAGGGTTAATATTAACAGTGTTATACATCTGCTAAATTCTTGGAGAGCTTTTCTTCTCTATTTGCATAGAAAGAGTGGATTTCTAGGGGCATGGTTGAGAGATTGGCTTGGTTTACCCACAGAGATGTTAATGCCCATGGTGGGCTCCATATGTGTGTGTTCCCATTGCTAGCCTTTGAAGTGCCAGTAAGTTACATAAAGTGTAACCTTCTCCTTAAACTTTTTAAAGACGTTCATTGCGAAATTATTAGCTTACATATAAACTGAATGGCATACAAAATATTTATAATTTTATTTTGGTTAGCAGTAGGTCATAAGGCATTTTATTTAGAAGTACTGGTATCAGTTCATTGTTGTGTTTGCACCATTGTTAGGTAGTCCTATCCCTTTGTTCATTTTATAATTTGTGATTTGAAATAAAAAAGGAACTGTGTTAGAATTAAGTTATAGATGTGGAGGGAAATATTTCAATTATTAGGATTTTTTATGAGAGATTCATTCCTTTTCTCGGCTGCTTTATTTTTCTCAAAGAATAAGTGCTTCATGCAAAAAGTTACAGTTAATGTGTCTTGTTTAAATGGATGTATGGCTCTAGTTCATCTGGCCAAATGAGTATCCTGTCCTGAAAATCTTATGTGTAATATTACAAAATGTTATGATGTCTAAAATATGAAATAGATTCTAATTTTTTAAACTTCTGGATTGGTCTAAAACATGTTTTAATTTCATGGCAATTTTAAAATACAGTAGAAAGTTCTTTTTAACTTTTAATTCTCTCAATGTAGGAGTATAGTATTTAATTTCAAAGAAGGGGATATGATATATAGCCATAGCCAACATTTTCACACTGCTGGTGCAAAAATACTCCCTCCTTTTAAAAAAATTAATTTGCTTCAGATTTGCACTTACATATTCAGCTACAGCAGTTTTATCAAACGCAAAGCTATTTTGTTATGAAAATGGTGAATTTTTGCCTATGAATTTCTCCTTTCAGACAGTTTGCAAACAGTAGCACATGTTCAAAATTAACTTTCAAGATGGGAACATAGATGTTTCTGGGAGGTATATTTAGAGAACTGTATATTTTGAATTTTTGCAGGTTGGGAGATCAACGGAAAGCCCTATAGACTTTGTAGTAACAGATACAATTTCTGGCAGTCAAAACAATGATGAAACTCAGATCACACAAAGCACTATATCCAGATTTGCATGCAGGATTGTCTGCGATAGGAATGCACCATATACAGCGAGGATTTTTGCAGCAGGATTTGACTCTTCTAAAAACATATTTCTTGGAGTAAGTACTATGGGTAGCTTTGTTATCTACAAGCAAAAATAGCCTGTATGTGATAGGACTGACATTTTTTTAAAAGTATGAGAATATGCTTGCTTATTACAAATCGTGTGTATATAGCTATTGACTTTGGTGCCTAGAGTTAAAGCTTCAGTAATTCTGTTATTTGAAAAAACGTGTGGGAACTTCAAATTTATTAGCCAGATTTTGCCACTCTGTGAACTCTTCAGGGTAGCTTCTACCTATCTTAAATATTAGAGTCTCAATTCAGTGGTCTCTTTTTTGTTTTTGTGTGGAAACAACTGGCAACAGTTCTTCACAGCGCGACATGAGTACTAACTAAGCATTCACCATTAATTAAACTTTCAATGGGATTGTTTTGGCTGTATGAATGCTAGCTATGAATGAAAGAGATAACACCCATCCAGTACAAACCACAGTTAACACTGTAGTTTATATAAACTGTGGTGTTTAACTGCATCTTTATGATGTAAGTGTTAGCTGATGTGTTATCTGTAAAGTCAACATAGTGATTGCAGGTGCATCTCATGTGAGACGTGTGGTTTATTGAGTCAGAAGTAACAATTTTCTACAAAAGTTTACATACTGGTTAAAAATGTGCAGCTGAATCTCTTGCTGCTTTGAAAACATCACCCGCTGGCCTTAGAATTCACCAGCAATGTGTTCTTTACTCATATACATAACTGTTCTGATGAGATATTCTCGAGTGCAATTCCTGGTTGAGGCTTTGAAAGTGAAAGGCTGCCTTCTGTCTCATTGTTTTGGTGTTTTATCTAGGAAAAAGCAGCAAAATGGAAAAATTCTGATGGGCACATGGATGGATTAACAACCAATGGCGTTCTGGTCATGCATCCGAAAGGAGGGTTTACCGAAGAGTCTAAACCTGGAGTGTGGCGGGAAATCTCAGTCTGTGGTGATGTATATACTCTACGAGAAACCAGATCTGCTCAACAAAGGGGAAAGCTAGTAAGTTGAAAGTGCAGTTATTCAAAACCAAAGTGCTACTAACATAGGAAAACTTCTCTTTTCTGTCACTGAGAACTGTGATATTGGAGGTGTGAGGTACATGAAGTACAGTATGGTGTGTGGGCATTGTCACACCTAGCACTAGGGCAGGGGATCATGGAGAAAACATGCATGCATGCATATAGCTGAGTCTGAGCAGGTTACTGAATCAGTCCTGAGAAGTTAGCTCCTCTGCTCTTCCTACAACTGCCTAGACCCCCAGGATCCCTGGCTGACTATTGATCTGCCACCAGCAGGGAGAGAAAGAAAGCAGAGTGCCTAGTTCTCACCAGTGTTTCCTGTAAGCTATGAATTTGTGTGGCTGCTCAGGAGAGATTCAGATGCCACCTCTCTGATTAGCAAAGTGTCCACAGCTAGGTTTTGTTTCTACTGGTGGTGCACATTCGCACATGCGTTGGTGCATATAAAAATTATTCTGTGCATGGGTGGAAAAAATCCACACACAGATGGAAAAGATTAGAGGGAACATTGGTCCCCATACTACCACCAAGCCCTATGGAAGGAGGGCTGTCTTTGCACATCTCATTTCCTATTCTGCTTGTTTGCTATAGTGCTCTCCTTCCTAGTTCTTCATCAGTCCGCTTTCTTCCTTTTGTCTAAGGAGAGGTGAGATGTAACTATTCAAGCTGTTCGACTCTGAGGACTAGAGGAAGTGTAGGTAATAATTTCCCAGCACCCCCATTTTCAGCCTCATAGTTTTTTTTTTCTTACTGGGCAGCCCATTCGGCCCTTCTTCCCCACTGTGTAGGCACACTCCTAACACACCAACTTTCAGGCTTGGGAGATTATTTTTTCATTACCTTTTCCTTACCTTCCCTCTATCCCTGGCTATTATGGATATCTGGGGAAGAGGACTGTTTTTTCTTCATTGGGTTGCTTAGGAGTGCCACTTTTAGCAACAGGATCCTTTCCCTTCCCAGTAGGCACTTTCTGTTCCCCCAGGTATTTCCACCTCTTATCATAGAATCATAGAATAATAGGACTGGAAGGGACCTCAAGAAGTCATCGAGTCCAGCCCCCTGCCCTCAAGGCAGGACCAAGCTCCGTCTACACCATCCCTGACAGATGTCTATCTAACCTGTTCTTAAATATCTCCAGAGAGGGAGATTCCACCACCTCCCTTGGCAATTTATTCCAATATTTGACCACCCTGACAGTTAGGAATTTTTTCCTAATGTCCAATCTAAACCTCCCCTGCTGCACTTTAAGCCCATTACTCCATGTCCTGTCCTCAGAAACCAAGAGGAACAAATTTTCACCTTCCTCCTTGGAAGAACTTTTCTTTATGCACCCTCTCCACGCCACTCATGCTTTTCATAGAATCATAGAATAATAGGACTGGAAGGGACCTCAAGAGGTCATCGAGTCCAGCCCCCCGCCCTCAAGGCAGGATCAAGCTCTGTCTACACCATCCCTGACAGATGTCTATCTAACCTGTTCTTAAATATCTCCAGAGAGGGAGATTCCACCACCTCCCTTGGCAATTTATTCCAATATTTGACCACCCTGACAGTTAGGAATTTTTTCCTAATGTCCAATCTAAACCTCCCCTGCTGCACTTTAAGCCCATTACTCCTTGTCCTGTCCTCAGAAACCAAGAGGAACAAATTTTCTCCTTCCTCCTTGTGACACCCTTTTAGATATTTGAAAACCGCTATCATGTCCCCCCTTAATCTTCTTTTTTCCAAACTAAACAAGCCCAGTTCATGAAGCCTGGCTTCATAGGTCATGTTCTCTAAACCTTTAATCATTCTTGTTGCTCTTCTCTGTACCCTTTCCAATTTCTCCACATCTTTCTTGAAATGTGGCGCCCAGAACTGGACACAGTACTCCAGCTGAGGCCTAACTAGTGCAGAGTAGAGCGGCAGAATGACTTCACGAGTTTTGCTTACAACACACCTGTTGATACAACCTAGAATCATATTTGCTTTTTTTGCAACAGCATCACACTGTTGACTCATATTCAACTTGTGGTCCACTATGACCCCTAGATCCCTTTCTGCCATGCTCCTTCCTAGACAGTCGCTTCCCATCTTGTATGTATGGAACTGATTGTTCCTTCCTAAGTGGAGCACTTTGCATTTCTCTTTATTAAACCTCATCCTGTTTACCTCTGACCATTTCTCTAACTTGCTAAGGTCATTTTGAATTATGTCCCTATCCTCCAAAGAAGTTGCAACCCCACCCAGTTTGGTATCATCTGCAAACTTAATAAGCGTACTCTCTATCCCAATATCTACATCATTGATGAAGATGTTGAACAGTATGGGTCCCAAAACAGACCCTTGAGGAACTCCACTTGTTATCCCTTTCCAGCAGGATTTAGAACCGTTAACAACAACTCTCTGACTACGGTTATCCAGCCAATTATGCACCCACCTTATCGTGGCCCTATCTAAGTTATATTTGCCTAGTTTATCAATAAGAATATCATGCGAGACCGTATCAAATGCCTTACTAAAGTCTAGGTATATGACATCCACCGCTTCTCCCTTATCCACAAGGCTCGTTATCTTATCAAAGAAAGCTATCAGATTAGTTTGGCATGACTTGTTCTTCACAAACCCATGCTGGCTATTCCCTATCACTTTATTACCTTCCAAGTGTTTGCATATGATTTCCTTAATTACCTGCTCCATTATCTTCCCTGGGACAGACGTTAAACTGACCGGTCTGTAGTTTCCTGGGTTGTTCTTATTCCCCTTTTTATAGATGGGCACAATATTTGCCCTTTTCCAGTCTTCTGGAATCTCCCCTGTCTGCCATGATTTTTCAAAGATCATAGCTAAAGGCTCAGATACCTCCTCTATCAGCTCCTTGAGTATCCTGGGATGCATTTCATCAGGACCTGGTGACTTGCTGACATCTAACTTTCCTAAGTGATTTTTAACTTGTTCTTTGTGTATCCTATCTTCTAAACTTACCCTCTCTCTGCTTGTATTCACTACGTTAGGCACACCTCCAGACTTCTCGGTGAAGACCGAAACAAAGAAGTCATTGAGCATCTCCGCCATTTCCAAGTTCCCTGTTACTGCTTCTCCCTCCTCGCTAAGCAGTGGGCCTACCCTGTCCTTGGTCTTCCTCTTGCTTTTAATGTATTTATAAAAGGTCTTCTTGTTTCCCTTTATGCCTGTAGCTAGTTTGATCTCATTTTGTGCCTTTGCCTTTCTAATCTTGCCCCTGCATTCCCGTGTTGCTTGCCTATATTCATCCTTTGTTAGTTGTCCTAGTTTCCATTTTTTATATGACTCCTTTTTTATTTTGAGATCATGCAAGATCTCCTTGTTAAGCCAAGCTGGTCTTTTGCCATATTTTCTATCTTTCCTACACAGCGGAATTGTTTGCTTTTGGGCCCTTAACAACGTCCCTTTGAAATACTTCCAACTCTCCTCAGTTGTTTTTCCCTTCAGTCTTGCTTCCCATGGGACCTTACCTACAAGTTCTCTGAGCTTATCAAAATCTGCCTTCCTGAAATCCATTACCTCAATTGTGCTGGTCTCCCTTCTACCTTTCCTTAAGATCATGAACTCTATTATTTCGTGATCACTGTCCCCTATACTGTCTTCCACTTTCAAGTTCTCAACTAGTTCCTCCCTATTTGTTAAAACCAAATCCAGAACAGCTTCTCCTCTGGTAGCTTTTTCAACCTTCTGAAACAGAAAGTTGTCTCCAATGCAGTCCAGAAACTTATTGGATAGCCTGTGCCTCGCTGTGTTAGTTTCCCAACATATGTCTGGATAGTTGAAGTCTCCCATCACCACCAAATCTTGGGCTTTGGATAGTTTTGTTAATTGTTTAAAAAAGGCCTCATCCATCTCTTCCACCTGGCTAGGTGGCCTGTAGTAGACTCCTAGCATGATATCACCCTCGTTTTTTACCCCTTTTAGCTTAACCCAGAGACTCTCTACACAGCTATCTCCTACGTTCATCTCCACTTCAGTCCAAGTGTGTACATTTTTAATATACAAGGCAACCCCTCCTCCCTTTTTTCCCTGTCTGTCCTTCCTGAGCAAGCCGTACCCTTCCATACCAACATTCCAATCATGCGTCCCATCCCACCAGGTTTCTGTAATACCAATGATATCATACCATATCATATCAATGATATCTTGTAATGACCGATTGACTTATTTAATTCTAGTTTATAACTGGTATAAAGAGGGAAAATACCAAATCCTGGGCTGTAGGTGCCTGTATTATATTAAAAAATACAATGACGCTAGAGTTGTATGCTCTTAGCAAAGCACCTTTCATGGTGCTGCAGATAAGTGGCTCTAGAATAAGTAAGTCTCCTCTCCCCCAGCTAAAACAACTTGCATTCTTATTTTAAATAAAATTACAGGGCACACTGGTTAGTACTGCTGTGAACAGAATTATGTGGCTGCCTTCATAAAATTGAATCCGCAACGATTACATGGTACCAAAACCCCTTTCCTTTTCTGTTCATAAAGAATTCTCTGATAGAGGTACTCCTCCTTTGATAAACTTTTCTTCTGTTCCCTGAAGTTTGTACCTGTAGCCCTTAGTATAAATTGCCTTTTATTAATTGATTAGCCTATCATTATCTAGATTTTGATAGGGTTGATTAACTGTTCTTAATCCACAAATTTGGGCTAAGTTCATATATCAGATGTGGTCACTCCTCCTGCCAGCCACACTTACTGAAGTTCTCTGTTTAATATCCAGGAGATTTATTTGGTGTGACAGTACTGGATGTTCCATCTTGTGCAAACGTGTAAAGTTGGTGCTGGTTAATTATGCACTTCTCTCTCCTGAGTAGCATGTCTGTTCTCAGTTCATGTCACACACACACATTTTAATGTGCATTCATCATTTAAATTGTAGTATCAATAGCACAAGTTGCCTATATGTTTGTGACATTAAAACAAATTAAAGAAAGCTACAGTGAAGCTGCAAATCACCTGCTTTCATTCAGAAGAGAAAATGAGAATTTGTAGACAATAAATCTTATGATGTAGTTTATCTGCAATGCCCGTGTATACACCAAGAGACTGATTTTTTCCAGAAGAGCTAAGTCCCTACAGCATCCATAGACTTCAGTATGAATAATAGGTACTCATCACTTATGAAAATCAGGGACTAAGATTTAGCTGTCAGTTGATTTTATACTCCAGCATTAAACTTACGAAAGTATTTGTGAATCTGGCTAACTTTGGTATCTGCAATGTAATGTGTAACTTGCCCACTAGAACAAAGGGAGCAAAATGCACCATAAAGCTCTAAAGGAGTGATACAGCTGACCACTCGGTACACATATCAGAATGAAAGAGTGAGAACTCTCCAGATCCTGTCAGAACTGTCTGTTAGTAGAACAGAGACAACCACAGAGAAAATCCATGCCAGGAAGGTGAGAAAATGAGAAAGAAAGAAAGAGATATGGTAGGTAGGAGAGAGATCTATCAGAGGGCTGGGGGTAGGGGGATATAATTGCCAGATAGGTTTTTTTGTAACCAGTTTAAGAATTTTACCAGAGAATTTTGGGAGTCAGGGAGTATGTGTTGAGAAAGAGGAATCATTCACACAATTCGCTAAGTTGTCTGTAAAAGATGCATCTCAGGCTTTTGTCTGTATTCTACTTCTAGGTGGAAAATGAGACCAACATCTTACAAGATGGCTCTCTCATTGACCTGTGTGGAGCCACTCTTCTGTGGAGAACAGCGGATGGTCTGTTTCACACACCAACTCAGAAACATATTGAAGCTTTGCGACAGGAAATAAATGCTGCCAGGCCACAGTGTCCTGTCGGGCTGAATACTTTAGCGTTTCCCAGCATTAACCGTAAAGATGTGGTAGAAGAGAAACAGCCTTGGGCTTACCTTAGTTGTGGTCATGTTCATGGCTATCACAACTGGGGACATCGCAGTGACACAGAAGCCAATGAGCGCGAGTGTCCTATGTGCAGAACCGTTGGTCCCTATGTGCCTCTTTGGCTTGGTTGCGAGGCAGGGTTTTACGTGGATGCTGGTCCTCCAACTTATGCTTTCACTCCTTGTGGACATGTGTGCTCTGAGAAATCTGCAAAATACTGGTCTCAAATCCCACTGCCTCATGGTACTCATGCATTTCATGCTGCCTGCCCTTTTTGTGCAACACAGCTGTCTGGGGAAAATAACTGCGTCAAACTAATTTTTCAGGGTCCAATCGACTGATGCCATTTTACAAATGACCACCATAACATTTTCTTTAACAAATTACTGTGAAGATTTTGCCACTAATTCTAGATTTTACCTTTTTTATAATACTGTTATTATTGGGGAAGGGGTGGGGAGGGGCCTGATGGGGAATGAAATGGGGATACATTGATACCTGGAACTTGACAGATATCAGTGGTGTTGCATGCTCATCAGCGGCATATTCATGGAGTCTTCTTGGTCAAGTTGTAGTATGTTTGTAATAATATTTTTATTAGTACCCTTGATCAGAAAAAAAAAGTCTTAATGATTTTTTTTAATCTTGAATTTTTAATGGACATTTTTTTTCTTTTAAACTTTGACAAGCCTTTAAAAACCTACTCTTTTCAAATCTAGAAGGAACATACAGAATGTAATTTGTCTTTAATTTGCAATATAACTAACTTGAATAGTTTTTCAAAGAGCTAATATGGAATGTGTGGGCCAACATAGAATGTGAATGTTAACTAGACACAACTATCAATTTGGATCATTCGAGAAAGGTTAGCTGCATAAATTGTAGCATACATATGCTATTAAATTGCCAGTTATGGTATAATGCAGTCGGCCAAAAAGACATCAAGGATGACTTGAAACGGGAATTCCTGTTTGCTTTGATTTTCCTTCAGTGTAGTGGATATCCAGTGTTCATTATATATACTATGATCGATCTTTTTTTTAACCTACATTTTGTGAAATTGAATTACTTTTCCACATGTAAAGTTGTTTATACCTTTTTAAAGAGAGAATTTCTGTATATTTGTAGTCCTGCCTTTGCTTTCTTCCTGCTTAATGTAGCTTGCTCTTGCTGCTCACCTTGCATGCTGGGAACTACTGGGTTAATTTAAGATGTAGCAACCCATTAAGAAATACATTAATGAAGAGGTAGCACTGCAGCAATAGAAAATAGGTTTAGGTGCTGTTTTACAGAATTTATGTACATAAGCCTAAATCCAGCAAGGCCATCGTAAGCACATGCTTAACTTTAAGCACACCATTAGCCCTTTTGACTTCATTAGGGCTTTAGGGTTGGCTGGATTAAGGCCATGCTGTCGTCTTCTGAAATCAAAATTGATTTAAAATAAGCTACTAGGAATTTTTTTTGTAAAGATCTCTTACACGCTACTAGCCAGAATGCTGTGAGGGAGCGCATCCTTCTATATTTAACTGTAGTTTTTGTTTGACTTACTGCCATCTTTTCTTGCAGCTTTGAGAAGTGCTGGAATCTATTTTTTTAAATGTTTGCAAATCAAACAGAATTCATATGTAATAATTAAAATACATTCAACAAAGCATATTGTTCATCTACAGTAGATAATCTGAAATTCCTGATTTTTAAGAGAACAGATAGGCGTTTATTAGGGAAATAATAATAATTAAATCAGAATTTCATGAGAGATCTACCATCCCACTCAGTTGTTTGGTTGAGAATAATAATAATCTTGCTCTCTATATTTTAGGTGTCTGAGATATCAATCTATCCAGGTTGAAAGACTTTGGGAGAAAATCCTCAAAAGGTGAAACTGATTATCCAAAACTTTGTTCTGTTAAAGTGATTACTATATCACTTGACATTTGCTATACTTGTGCCCTTTGTATACATACATAATTTATATGATTTAATATATTGTGTATATACTTGAATTGGCCTGTTCATATTTTGATTGTCAAATTGTTTTATAATTAACCTTATAAACATTTAAAATGTCCCTTGCCTATGGTCGTGGGGCATATATTATTTTGTCTGCTGCTGTTTAATATAATTTTGCTGGGTTAAAAAAAGTTTTTCATTTTAATAATTTGAAACTAGCTTTACTGCTCTTTTAAACTTTATTTTTATTTTGCTGTAAAAAGTAGTGTTTGTTCTGCAGCTTTCCCTTTACAAATCTCAAATTGTACAGTTTGTTTGTCCCATTTACTGATTGGAATTGGGACAGATCTTGTTAGTCTAAACTATACACTTCTTCCTAGTGCCTTTTCAATGAGATTCTTGTGTGATTCTGTGTTCTAAGTCCTTATTTTCACAAGGCAAGCTTGTGGTTAATGGTACACAAAGGACAACTCAACTAGGCAGAAAAAAAATGCCTTTCAGTTTCATTTCTTTGCCATGGTTTCTGACATAAACATAAGGATGTAAATACAGTATATCGTCCCTGGCTGTCTTCAGTATAAATTCCTCAGGTTCCATGTTCTGCAGCATTCGTTATACTTAGCATATACCTCATCTGTGAGAGGCAGATTCTGCCCTATTTTGTTGAACTGTGTCTGTTCGCTAGAGATCTTTTGTCATGAGAGGATATGAAATCAGACTTTCAGGAAATGTACATTGTTGTCTCAAGGTCACAAGATTTAACACTGGGCAGTAGGGATTAACAGTGGTAGTTGGTATGCCCTTGATTTTGAAACTTTTTTGCATTCACAGGACTACAATATGTGTCACACACTTGAGATAGTTACTATTGTGGCAAGCTTGATGTTTAGTCTCCCTGTGAGAGTTAATGGATTGTAGTCATAAAAGTTTCAAAGTGCTTCCATATCAAGCCTTTTTACATTCCTCCTTTTCCATTATAATCTAGATGTGGGAGCAGATGTCCCCCCCTCCCCCGCCCACACACATCCCTTGCCCAGCCACGTACGCCTGTACAAAGTGGGTGTAAAATGCTGCTGTTTTGCACACTCATCTTGCCATGACTACACAAGACTAAAGTTTCAGGCCTGTGATTTTCAGTTGCAGAGGTATCCCTTGAAAGACTTGTGTCCGAACTCTTTTATTGGCATCAGAATTGCATAAGAAATGCTGCAAGAAGGAAAATAATCTCTTACCAGTGAAACCAACTTCTAGAAGTCCATTTGTATGCATCAATTTCCCATTGACCAATAGTTGCAGCCAGAGGGAATCTCTTTCCTTCCTCCATCCATTTTCATAACCCTGGAATTAAACTGGAGAAAATTCAGTTTCTTTCTAAATGAATGAAATTTGTTCTGAATCTCTGATACATACATACAAAAGAATTCACTGAAAGTTCGTCTTTAGACACAAAAAAGTTTTCATTATTTAAATGACCATCCCATTAGACTCGTCAGTGCTTTGCGTGTCCCTAAACAAAAGTCAGCAATAATGTATTCCATAAGTAATATTAATACCAGTTACTCCATCCATTTCATTTGAATGAGTCAAAGGTGTTTGAATCACAACTCTACTCAAGTATTTTTCTCGTCTTTTTTTTTTTTTTTGTCTTTATCAGTTTTTGTACTCTTTGTCTCTCTCATTCTCCTTTTTTCAGGAAGCTTTTTGCAAAGAGGGCTAACATCTACACCAGTGTTTCTTAAATGTTTTAAGACAGAGAAATACCAAACAATTTTTTTTACGAGGACCACCAAGGACTTTTTGTTGAGGAAAAAAAGAGGCCGCAGAAAAGTTATTGAGCCAAAAAAGAAAAATAGGGTTGAGGGAAAGTTATTGAGCAAAAAGAAAAATAGGGCCGGGGGAAAGTTATTGGGGGGAGGGGGGGAGGAAGTCACCTGTCCCTTTAAGGGAGGCCATTTTGAATTCTGTTGTTCTCCAGAGTGTGCCATGGAACACAGTTTAAAAAACACTGGTCTACACTGAAGATTCAGTATTATGTTGCCTGATTTTGAATTGTGGTCCAAACAAAGCAAAATCCTTTTAACACGGTAATTCATATTAATTATGACTCAGTATTTAATGATAAAGAATGGTACCTTTGTGCCTCAGAGTAGCCTGGCATAGATCGTTAGAGAAGAAATTCTTTGAGATGTGGGTGGAGAAAAGGAGAAAGCCATTAACAAAACACTGGCTCCGTAGTAGTAACAGACAGATTCTGACACAAAACAGCACATGAACATGATTGTACCATTTTGATTTTCATGCATCTCTTGGTTGATTTTTCTAAAATTGTTTAACTTATTGCATAGTCAAAAATGGAAGAGAATCCTTTTTATAGGCAAGTCCAACACATCTTCACTTCATTAAGAAAAATCCTTGACATTCTTGTTGCTGCTTTATTGGGGAGCAGGATTCTTGTGTTCTTTATGCCTGATTCTGATTTGAGAATCCTGTTTTAGAACGTGGCCAGAAAGCAGAGGGGATGTGGGTAGAATGCTGCTTAATCTTCGTACTTAAATAACTCACTATTTTTGAGAGACTACATAGTGTCTTTATATAATTATTTTATATATGTGCACATGCGAGCACACTAAAATAGCCAAAACGTAATGACTTGGTTTGAGCTTTGATAGCTCTGTTTGGGGCTGATGCAGCAGCTAAGTTAATTCCTTTCCCACAGTATTTTAAAGGCTTAAATGTACTACGGGAAATGGAACTTCTTCAAAATAGAGCTCTAAAAGAGAAATCCACTTTTATCTCCAGAGTTGATAAGCCTTGACATTAAATTCTAGTGAAGAAGAGCAGCCAAAAAGAATTAATCATCGTCGTTGCTAATGGAAGGCCCTGAAATGCATTTCAGCTTGGTAAAAAAG